GCTCTCTTGTGAAAATAAACGCGAGTGCTTCCCATCCTGCGCCTCAAGATACACGCAGCCATCGTTGACGCGCCGTCGATCGTCGACGACACGCCGGTGGCTACCACTGCGTCGCGTTATTATTATTATTGTTATAATTATTATGATCACGCTATTGCTATATGCGTTTATTTAGCAACAATAATCCCGCCATACCAACAGCAACCGCAATCTTTGTCGTCGTCGTCGCGAAAGAAAGAAAGAAAGAGGAGCCTCAACCGCGCGCGCGTCGCCGGCTCGTTCATGACGAATTGTATGTAGTTCGTGCTAAACATATGAAACTTCGAAATTTTCAGTGCACATACGATATGTGCTTCTGTACGCGCAAACATTGCGTACGATTCGTATTGTCGACGCGTTGAGCGGAATATGAAATGTGCTTGGTAATCGAGAACGTTGCTTCAACGGTGTCGCGGCGTGATTACGTGTCATTTCGAATAGATATGTCAAGAGAGAAAGAGAGAGAGAGAGAGAGGGGGGTACAATCGAAAAGGATCGCAAAGATTGTGCACGCGAGATCAAATCTCTCTTACGGCGTGTCCGCTTATCCGGAACCGCGACGCGTTTTCTTCCGCAAGGCGTCCTCTTCTCGAAGCGCCGATCAGCTCTCTTTTCTCTCGAGCACGCATTTAGAGTTGTAAACAGGATCGCCCGATTTCCACTTCTTGCCGGAGCTTGTGCGTCAGTGCCGACGAAACTCGAGTTTTAAACTGAGCGATTTCGCGATGCGGGTATCCCCGCAATTTCCACGACGTACGGTTGGTTACAGCCGCGAGAATCACCTCTTTTCTGGGGCAAACCGCGATTGATGCACCGTGTTGGAGCAACGCCTTCTCAAAGTACAACGTACCCCACGACTAACCACGATTAAAAATCACCACTATGACGAAGACAGGCGAGGATGGCGAGGGGGGGGGAGGGGGAGGAGACGACAACAGGTAGAGATAGACACGAGGAGTGAAAGTCTCCTCTCTTACGCGAGGGATAAACCTCTCTCGTCAGCCAGTCAGCCGGGGTCCGTTGTAGAAAAGAAAATTTCCAGCTACTGGGAACTTTCTGAAGCTACACAAGGAAACGTGTCGCGAGAGAGCCGATGGCACGTCGAGAAAGATGTGTAATGTCGCGACACGCGGTAACGACAACGACGGCGCGTCTCCCTTCCGATACACCACCACGAATCCCTTCCGAAGCAGCAGCAGCGCGGCTGGATGCGTCCACTGGAGTCCCGAGAAGCGTCTATGTTCGCGTTCGATTCTAATAATGACCGAGCGACATATCGCTGAGATCTCTCTCCCGCTTCGAGTTACCTTCGCGATAGACCCTACAGAACTTTGATCTTAGCCGGACTCGCGGGATTACTTTTACGGAATTGGATGCACGAGTCTTTACCACTTCGTTTTCTTCTTCTTTTTTTTTTTCCCTCTTTACTTTTAATCGCGCGCGAGACCAGGGAGAGAAGGATAGTTTCTCTCTCTCTCCTCCCCTCCTCTCTCTCTCTCTCTCTTTCTTTCGTTTTCGACCACTGAGACGTCGAACTTCTCGGTCGCCTGAATAGATAATTTTCTTTAGTAAGTTTCACACATATATATACATACACACATATACTCGCGGATGCTTCTTACTTTATTTATTTATTTGCCCCGTCGTGTACGACTAAAGAGAATGTCGCTGTTATTTTCAAGTGTTAAACACACGTTTTCCTGCGCTTCTGTCTTATTCGCGTGCTACACACGCGTTCTTCTTTCACGGAATAAAACGGAGGCTGTTAACGGAAAAAGGTGGACCGAATCTTTACTTTTATAATTTTGATGGTCGTTCACGAATTAGATCGCGTACGGTTCCCCCTCGCCTTTTTCTTTTTTTTTTGGCGTTGCGTCAATTTCACGAAAAAGAAAGAAAGAAAGAAAGTGTCTTAGTTTGATGTTTCATATTAAGTTAAATTATTCAGCGCGACTATATATTTACCCGCCGTTAAGCTGACATAAGGGTTCGCCGAAAGAATTAATTTATTGATTATGTTAGTTAATTTATTTATTGTAGCTCCGACGCATCGAGGGACTCCACGTTCCCAGCCAAACTCGCGTTTATCCTCTTGTTATAGACTCAATCACACACACACACACACACACACTTATGTCTACATATATATATATAAATATATAATATTAATAACGAATATATATATATATATATATATAATAATAATAATATACCTTATGTGTATGTCTCTTTTTTTAATTTAATATATTTATTTTTTCAATCACACACGAGTATTTATATATTTATACTGATATTTTATACTGCGTTCTTCTCACAGATTACACGCTATATGTAATGAGCGTTACAATATATATATATATATATATATATATATATATATATATATATATATAATGTGAAACAGGTCGATCTCTTGGCTCTCAGAGGAAACCGATATCTTCCGCCTGCACGACGACATATCACACACAAAACAGACACACGGAAAAAAACACGCACACAGCGAAAGATAGACGTATACGACCCGCGTATACACACACCGTTTGCGTTTGTTTTTTCTCGCGGCCCATTTCTTCCTTTCTCTTTGAAAACGCTTTCGGACCCCTTTTCCGATTTCCTTTCGTCGGCCAGCGTGCGATCCGTTTTTCCCCGGCTGGACGAAAGCTACTGCCGCTGCTGCCGTCGTCTCTCGCCGGCTGCCGTCAGCATCACTTTGACGAGGCACGGCGAGAGTGAGAGACAGAGAGAAAGAGAGAAAAGCGAAAGCTTCTTGTTGCGTATACTTAAAAAAAACGCCCCCTCATGTGATACGCGCGACCGATCGTCTTCGGTCGCGAGGAGAAGATATGTATGTCCTCTCGCGCGCGTGCGCGCAAGAGAAACCGACGATCAGCGATCCGCGAAAAGTGTCTTTAATTGAGGAAAGGGGAGAGAGGGTGTGATACGCGTACTAAATATATATTATATATTTGTGCGACAATCAAAATGATACAATGGGAGCCAATTGATAGGCAGGCGGGAGTCGTTCGAGAGCCCAATCGGAATTATTCCGTTCCCTTTCGTCGTCTTGCTTTCCCCCTTTCCTCCTCGGAAATATCGTTCGAAGGTGGACGAGTTCCTTAAATCTCGCCTCGCCTCGTGACTCCGCGTTCAAATCAAGTTTTTAGACGAATACACAGGTTTCGACTCAGTCGAGGAGAGAAAGAGAAAGAGAGAGGGAGAAGGAGGAGGAGGAGGAAATTTGGCGGTAATTCCGCGAAGGGGTGAAAGACGAATTCTCACCCTGCCTTTTGGACGGGTATGCTCGAACGGCTTCGGTCGAATCCACAATGGGACCATAAAAGTGATAGATGCATATAGGTTTTCCTTGTCAGAGGAATTGCGGGCTTGGAAAAAAAAAATATTGTGACGGGAAGAGCGAACGGGAACGCCGTGCGCCTCGGAGGAGGAGCAGAATGAGGATGAAAATGAGGATGAGGATGAGAAGAGTCTCGAGGAAAGGGGATCGCGGCGCGAGAAAGGATGCCCTCGTGCGAGAAAACACTTTGATTTGTACGTTTGATCGATTTTATTCTTACTTTTTTTTCTGTTTTTTCGTGGTATACGTTTCCCCTTCGAGACTCGCGGCCGACCGTTTCCTCTTGCCGATAATCTTTTTTTCCTTTTTTTTTTCGCCGAGTGAAGCAACACACTCGCGTACACGCAATG